CCAAATGGAGATTGATTGCTTCATAGTTAATGCTTAGATAAATTAGTCGTAGTAGTTGAAGTATTTAAAAAGATACTAATTTATCGCAGTATCCCCATTTTACTTGGTTTCAAACGAACTGTTAGTCTGCAGATCAATTTTGTTGTGAGATAGAATGCTAAACCAGTGAATCTTGAGCATTTTAGTGTATGCTATAGAGTACTTCGACCACGGCTAAAAGTTTAACCGCAGCAACTTAAAAAATAACTTGAGCAACAAATACAAGGATATTTCCTCAACCCAGAACTTGATTGCATACTTTTAGGCGGAGCACCTGCGCCTGTATCGCCCGCATCTCATGGCGGAAAACGTGTCTTGTATAAAAATAGTTCATCTATCTGGGCCCAACAAGCCACCGGCCCCATTTTGGAGCCACACCTCCCCAACGCAAGCACGGAAGTTTCATCGCATAGCATGCTTTCTGGCTATTTATAAGCAAATTTTCCCAAGTCTCAGCTGAAAACTTAAAATGAGAAATTGTCGGAATTGTCTGGGCGTTGAGAGTAAAGCCGCTTGCTGGGGGAAATATGATTAATGATTGGTGGAGCCTAGAACAATGGATGTGTCAATCGAGTGTCGTGGAAAAATTGCTCTCATTATCGAAGCCATTATTGCGTTATTAGGAGTAGCTAGGAAATAGAAAAGCCAACGAAAGTGGATGGAGAAGGGCAATGGGCATTGAATTTATCGAGCCTTATTTGTGAAGGGCCGGCAGAACTTATTTGTTATTGGGATAATCGAGTTGGTTGTCTACCGAATGTGGAGCATATTGTCGATTTGAGGAATTACACATACTTAATTCATGTGTTTTGTATGCAGCTGATAGATAGCAGGTTGATGACATAGGCATATCAAATAGCCATTAGTTATTTACCTCTTGTACACTTTATTTCAACTGAAAACGACTCAGAGAGATATTAATGGATCCTGCAACTAGTTTTTGGTCCTTAATTTCGGATCGCTGGCATAGCTTATTTACTTTCTGGACAAATCAGCAATCTGCCAGAAGTTTTGACTTCCCATTTCCATTAGTTGTCATTTCACAGCCCGCTAATCCGCTTTGCATAACTTTCCGCAAAAGCCTCCAGCTAATTGAGTGCAATTGTGAGGCAGTCGAAAAAGGGAGCAAAGAAACTTTCTCCAGCTGCGAGTGAAGTTTTAAATAATCAACTTTTGTCATAAATTAAATAGATCTGGCGACGGATGCATAATCAAGGAGCCGCCAGACGCGGCCGTAAAAATTACAGCCAGAATGCTATTAACTGTGAGTCGTTGACGGAAGGAAGGAAGGACTCTGGAACCTTCAGTTGCCAGGAGGGGTCGTCAGGATAATAGTTCTTAGTCCTGCCACTGCCCCTGCTGCCGCAATAACCGTCGGATGGGTTGGGTTGAATATGCAACAGAGGCACACGGGCCACAAAAGAATCACAAGTGGAAACTGAAAATGCCCCGTATGCCAAATGGCCATCGTCCCGACATTGTTGTCTGCACTTGTTCGCCGGTGTGGCAGCGTCTGTGTTTGTGTCTGTGGCAAAAGTTAAATGCACCTGCCACCAAGGAAGCGCCTGGATGGGCTTTTCCGCAGGAGGAGCAACCAGACGGGGACACAACCGGGGATCACAATGAAGCGCACTACATGTCTGCGTTTGCGTTGTTGTAGGTGCCAAAAGTTAAATGCAGCAGGGCTGGCTTCGAAATGCGTGAAAGCCTTGCTAGTAGCTCGATTTCGTATGCGGAACGGCCAGCCAAGAAATGTGCAGTAGACACTCGATAGTACCACTTTTACCAGTCTTATTCCTTGGAAAATGCCTTTACAGGTCTTTAAAAGTATTATTTAGCATATGACAATCCAGAATGTCTTAGCAATCGACAGTACAGTACAAAAATAATTACAGGCCATGCAGGAATATTTCAATATTCGCCTTGTTCCTTATGCGAAAACACGGAAAATTAGCATCTTGAAAATGGTTTCCCACTTTGAGCTCGTTTTCCGGATATCAGAATCAACCAAATTCGTTTGATTCCTATCTATGATAATAGTCTCATTATGTTAGCTTAAAAAAGTAATAAAAGTAATGATAAAATGTAGTAAAGAAATGTAAGCATCAAAAGAACCGCAATTTATTATAGGGCAGTGTTCGCCTTAGTTGGTGTCCACTGTGCGTACATGCGGACAAAGCACGCAGCGCCAAGAAGTATGCAACGTGGAACAGCCGGCGCAGGAAAATGCGCAAAGTGTGGTGAAAATCCCGAATTGAATGTGTGTGAGTGCGGCGAAGAGAAGTTGAGAAGTTGCGAAGATGGCGCAAAAGGAGTGCAAATCTAAGAGCAGTTTTCGCACTCTCTTTTGTTTGCTTTGCTCTTTGGATTATTTACTTGTGGTAGTTGGTGGTGTTGAGTTTCCGGCACGTTTTATAAACAAACTCAAATCTAAAAGAGAGCAAGAAAGTGAGAGAAAGAGAGGGCTAGGTGGCGCTTATGTTTACCAGTAACATTCAATGTTTTACCAATGTCAACAGTGCCGCTTTTTTATACACTTTTTTATACATTTATTCCGGCTATAACTGAGTGAAGAGCCACTGGCCAATCGAACATTTCAACGCACATAATGCGCAGCACGATAATGCAAATCAAGTGAAGTGTTAAAATTCTGAAAACCCCACAAAACAAAATATACATATAGCATAAAAACCCGGGAAAATCCTTTAAACGCACAAGGCTGTGAAGAGGTGTGGAAATCGATATGACCGCCAAACCACCGCCCCCCATCCCGCCCACTTTGGGTGGCGATGATTCCGGCACACACGGACCGAAACTCGCACCCGAAATACCTCGCATTAACTCGGAATTGGCAGCCCAGGCGGCACTCAGAGGACAGCAATTGCTGAAGAGGCAGGTATCGCAGGAGCAGCACGCGACTAACACGCTGCCGGCCCACAAAACCGGTGCCCCGCCCCCCTTACCGCCCACCCAAAGTCGTCCTGTACCGGCCATTCCCGCCAGAGGCGCCAGCGATCGGGCGGCACCGCCGGAAATTCCACCCAAACGTCACAGCCTGAAGAGCATGCCCGATGGACAGACGATGATGGTGCCAGGACTACCGCAAACCATGAGGCAACCGCCGCCGCTGCCCAGGAAACCCGCTTCCACTCAGAGCTCCGCTCAGAACTCAGCACAAAGCTCCCCATTGGCGGGCATGAAGTTCAAGGATAAACCGCCGCCACCACCCGAAAAACATTCAACTCTCTCCGCGGAGGGAATGGCCGCTCGGCGGTGCTCGAACCCCTTTGAAATGCCGCCACCACCGCCGCCACTCGTGCTCCAATCCGCCGTGGCGGCCCTCAGCGAACAGAGCTCCAAGAATGGCCTGAATCCCGTGCCCTCGCCAGCGCCCACCAGAGCCAGCGAGGCGAAGAAGATCAACCAGCGATCGATTGCATCGCCCACAGAGGAGTTCGGATCGGAGGATGCACTGCGCGGAATTGAGAGTGGCTTGCGCAACATGGAACGGGCCATGCAGGAGCAAATGAATCTGAGGAACATGGAGGCTGCGGTCCAAAACAATTTCGATTTAAGCTTTAAGGCTAGCCTAGCGGCAGGTGCTCGGCATCTGGGCGGTGGTTCGGTGAATCTCAGAACGGCCAACTACGAAAGGAACCTATCCTTGGACGAGGGACGAGCAGGTGACTCGCGACAATCCCTGGAGGAACTGAAACAACTGAGGGCCCAGGCCCAGCAGCAATCCCTGCTCAATAATTCCTCCTCATCCAGCTCCAATTCCCAGGTGGAGCAATCCATGCGTTCCACCATTGAGCACCATATGCGCTCCCTGGATCGGAACTTACCACTGGAGCTGCAGTATAGTCGCCATCGCTTTCAGAACAATTTGAATGCCGTGGCCGCTGCTGCGGCTGCTGGCAGTGCTGGTGGCAACTCGTCCACCGGAAATGCGGTGGCAAATTCCTCCACTTCCGGTTCGCAGCAGCCACCAATGCCGCTGAGCAGCGAGTTCCGCGAGCAGATCCGCCAGCAACTGCTGGGCAACATACCGCCACAGGTGGTCCACAATATGGGCCAATCGCCGGGCTCCGCTGCCGCCGCCGCCTTGCTGCAACATCAGGCGCAGTCGCGGGCCGCCGCTGCCGCTGCTGCTGCGGCCGCTGCAGCTGCTGCCGCTCAAGTGGCCGCCGGAGGTGGGGCGCTTTCGCGGGAGGAGCTGCGCATGCGCAGAAGGTCTTCGCACGACGAAACCCAGCTGACCCAGAACTCGAGCGGTGGCATTCAGGGTAAGGTTCCCTCCCCTGCCTCTTAACTTCCCCCAGAAACGTTCATCAACCAACACTTTATAAGAAATGGGGTTTATACTTAAGTAATTAAATAGGCATACCAGATTTTAGAGATTTTTGTAGAGAATAAGAGTGTAAAAACTGTACAAAACCGATACGTAAATCGGAAGTTCTGTATACATTTAAGTAGTGCTGTATTTTTATTTGTATCTGAACCTCTTTGGATTACTTTTGAAAAGCTCCTACTCTTTCTATATGTTTGCCTTAATTATTTATTTCTTCTCGATCCCCGACTTGTAGAGCTAAAACAGTTTTCCCTAGCACCGCACTGTTCAGCGGACTTAGATTATATGCGTTGCTGCCTGAAAGGTAACCACACCGAAGGATAAGCTAGAGTGTTTGTGTTGTCACTTAACCCCAACCTGCCTCCCGCACAGGGCTGAAGCTTAACCCATAACAGCACACACACGACCCTCAACCAGCCGAGCTGACAAAGCAAACTTAACTTAAGTTATTATACTTACTAAATTGCATGGCTGGGCAATAAACCAAAGAGAACTGTGATAAACTCTGGCTAATCTTTGTTTACTATTGACGTTTAATATGGTTTCATTTAACTATAACAGAGCAGATTTCAACTGACATAAATAACTAATTCGCCTAATTGTTCCACAGTGACCCGATTGCGAGAACACTGGGATGAGACGTCACAATGTGTCCTGCAGCGAGCTGCCCAACTCAAAAACATGCTGAGCGACTCACAGCGGTAGGTTTTCACCCCTCTTAACCGCCGAGCGACCACTTAACCCCCTGTCACCATCTCAAATTAACCGCAGGTTCGAGGCCAAGCGCCTGGAGCTCGAGAAATGGCTGGCCCGCATGGAGCAGCGGGCCGAGCGCATGGGAACCATCGCCACCACAGCCGACATCCTGGAGGCCCAGCAGAAGGAGCAGAAGGTATGTGCTAGCCGCCACCAAAACTAGGTCTTTCTCACACCCACTCTTATTCCCTGGCAGTCCTTCCATGCGGAGTTGCACCAGAACAAGCAACACTTCGATATCTTCAACGAGCTGACCCAGAAACTGATTGCTGTCTATCCCAATGATGATACCACCAGGATCAAGAAGATGACGGAGGTCATCAATCAACGGTGAGTGGAGTGAAATACAAGTAGTGGTTACATTTCTAAGGGCAATCGATAGCTATGTGGGAATTGGTGAAGTAAAAGTGCGTTGTATTTAAATTACATGTTCTTTTTTAACCGATTTCTCCTAATTGTCAGGTATGCTAACTTAAACAACGGAGTCATCAATCGTGGCAAGCAACTGCATGCAGCGGTGCATAGCCTTCAATCCTTTGATCGAGCCATGGATCAGGTAGGATTCATCATTACAAACTATATTAGAGACATCATTTTAATGTATTGTATCTTCTGGCAGTTCCTAGCTTTTCTTTCGGAAACGGAAACACTTTGTGAAAACGCCGAGTCTGACATTGAACGCAATCCATTAATGTTCAAGGTAAGTGTACAGCTTCATCGTTCGTCGACTTAATCTTTGGAATCGTTTAAATATACCCTGCTGCTGACATAATGATATACTTGTTCTGCAACAATTGAACGCCACTTGAAAGATTTATTCAGTGTATAAAGCGCAACCTCCTTTCCGTGGAAAGTTCATTGCCTTTCGCTTTTGTTGGCTTTTCCTCTGCGAATTAACTGCGAAAGATGATGAGCTGTCTTGGGATATCACTGCATCCCAGCTGAATAAAAGGCATTTTTATGTTAATATGAAGAAAATATTTAGTATTTAATGAGCATTTTAGCATTTAAAGTGTTGAATTTGTATCTACTGTATTTTGTATAGTCACATGCCCACGAAAGATATTCTTAGAGAGTACATATTCACGAAGGAATGATTTTTAGAATAGTCCAACTTTTTGAGCAGATGAATGCGCCTTATAAAAATTTGTTGTCGCCGCTTGTAACCATGTTATTGAACTTTGAATTATGTTCGATCGATTCCCTTTGGTCTTTACTAAAAAGTTGTTCCCCAATTCGCTGCATTCCCTTTATCTATTTCGATAAGCGGAAGCATTAACCGCTTTAATTTACTGTAGCCGATCAAGGGCTGAGTTTGAACCACTTGAACTGGCCCATCATGAGCCCAATCCGTACACAAATTCGATTCCACAGCGGAACCGTACAAAGTATTCTCGGAGCACTCAGTGTCTCGATTGCAGTTGCAATCAGAATTGGCATTGTGGCCACAAATGAGTTCTGCCCACTCGCTGGATGCACTTATCAGCGACACTCATCGGGGAGCGGTTTCCCCGCCCCTTGGTCCAGCGATTTCCCTATTTTCCGACCCTGCCCCTTTTGGCACCACTCTGAATATTCTCGAGAGTTCGGTGTGGCGCGCGCTTCTCAAGTGATGTTGCGGCGTCTGTTTGTTTGTTTATTTGAATGGCTTGAGTGGGTGGGGTGGGCGAGAAAATGGGTGGGGGCGTGGCGTCATCAGCCGCCCCATTTTCATTGTTTTGTGCGCCTGGCTCTTTGTTGTAATTACATTCGCCTATTTAAGATAATTATTTTAAGGCGCTTTTCTTTTCAATATTCGCGGCTTTGTCTGCAGCTTTCCGGTTCTTCTTTCCTCCTATTCTCTAGTCACTTACAATTATTTTATTACTTCCAATGTAAATGGTTCACGTGTAGTTAAGGAAGTTAAGGATTGCCACGCCCACAAACTTTTATTTTATTAATTTTTCCCAATTTAAAAAATGTATCATTCTATCTTGTTTTATATCTAAATTCATACATTTTGTACTCCTATATTTCTTTTGTTAGTTCGAGAGTTTTTAATTACTTTTTAAAGAAGTGGTAACTAATTTATGAAGTTTAACTTATTTATTATGCTACGCAGTCGCATAAATATATATTTTAAGTTGAATTAAAATATTATAAAATGATTTAAAATTCAGATTCTGTTGAAAAGCTTTTATTGAAAGCTTTTTATATGGGTTAAAATACGGGATAATTTCCAGGACTCGGTTTGTTCCCATTATTATTCAGTTCTTCAACAAAATATTCAATGCGCAGACGCATTTCTTATTTTTGGCTCTATCAGCTAAACATTATTTATGTTGGTTATATGGGGAAGAAAAAGTCTCCACTATTTACGGCCCTATTGCGCTTAATTATTTATATTTAACATTGTCATAAAATTTAATGAAATTGTAATGAAAGGTTGTGAAAAGAAAGGTTAAAAAATGATATGAGATTTTTTTAGAAAAAGAATTTTTAGAGAAGTTTTATCTATCTGAAACGATTATTTTTCAAGAAGTTTTTAGTCCAAAGTAAGGGTTTTCACACGTCGGTTATGTTCTACTGCTTTGTTTTTGTTTATTTTGCCGGCAGGTAATAACGGTATCAACCGGCTGATTTTCGCTCTCCCAGGTGCCAAAGATTCTCTCGCAAGTCTCTCCGAGTCTCCAAAATCATTTCAGTCCGCTCTGTTGTCGTTTTGCCTCTCTGTTGTTGTTATTATCTCGGGAAATGGCCGACTCCCACATGTGGAAAATGCGACCATTCGGACCCGAAGTTCGCTGTCGATGGCGATAGAACGCCGAACTTTGGCTATTTCGGATTCCATTCCGGATACTCGCCACCTCTGCCGCCGCCTCAGCCAGCGTCGCTGCCGCCGTCGACTGTGGATGCTGGCGTCGAGTTTTCAGTTTCGGATTTCAGTTCGTGCTTTGAGATGCGCCCGGTCGCGCGTGTTTAACGGAAAACGGCAAGCGTCAGAACTCTTTTTTAACCGGTTCCGATTTAAAGTGAACACTACCAATTAATTCGCTGCCTAAAATAAAAGTAATGAGGAATAATGCGAAGTTTCAAAAATTAAAATGATATTTAAAAGAGATTTTTAAGGTGTTGAAAAACACAAAGGAATAATTAACATACGTTGCCTACTTTGAGGCGTGCATTGCACTCTCACCAACACACGCAAACGCTCGCACTCACACACACACAGGCATAACAACATTGCACACTTGCAAATTGAATTCGCCATGCAACAATTAAACACAAATCTCGGCTCAAAGCAAATGGCGGAAAAGGCGTCACAGCCGTCGCCATTTTGTATGGCTGTGTTAGTGTGAGAGGGCGTATGGGTGTGCGTGTAAGCGAGTGCATGTGCATTGGCGTGTGTTTGTGTGTGTGCCTGTGCATTTTAAAGTGAGATGTGCATTAATTATGCACACATATTTCACTCAACCACACATACAATGACCCTGTGCTTGTGTGCGCTTCGCGCAAAGTGAAATTGAAATTTTATGTGGAATTTATGAAAATTCAACTCGCTGGCAATTATAATCGCCTTAAGAATTGTAACAGTGTCAATTAAATCTACCGAAAAATCCGTCCATAGACAAAAGGAATAACAAAATAAAAGCGAATAGAGCTTAACCTGATAAAGCATAAAGCCTAAAATGCCGAAAAGTGTGTTTGTTTAAAAAATTGTGGAAAGTGTAAACAAATTTCTTCTGGGTTTTGTAGGTGAATTGTTTCAATTAGACTTCAACAATTTTGCTTTACCTAACTAAGTTTGAGTGTAGGTGAACAAAAATTAAATTAATAAAAAATGGGTTAACGAATCAGTAATGAAATAAATTCTACTTCTTGTTCTAAATTTTGTAATCGACAACGACGCTGCTTTCAATAATCGCTTAGGCATATAAATTACCTAACAATTTACCACATGTTTCCCAGTACAACAACTTGCACAATAGCATACAAATAAAGATAAGCAAATTGTCATAGTTTATCATCATCTCGACAAAGTCTTCAGGTGTCATTCTTATTTTTTGTGCTGTAACTCAGCCTTAACCCAGATAATTATGTTCTTCAAAGTCTCAAGCCTTTCAAACACTCTTCAGAATACCGCAGCTTACACAGAAGCTGGAATACATAGTAATCTTGAAAAACTTTCAATTCTCTTTGGGGGAATCGAAGGGCCGACCACATAAGATCCCAGACGTGTTAACACGATTTAGCATAGAAAAACAAGATTGTTGGGTGGGGGAAAGGCGAAAGCCGATTATTTATCAAATGACAACACAATCGAGCGTGTCGCGAGTCGGGGCGATGCTCATTCATGGTAAGATTTCCACACTTTTAAGGCGCAGAGCCCGGAAAACCAGACTCTGGGTGTGGGAGACGACATTGGTCAACACTCAGCTCGAACTCGGGCCAAACAACAAATGTCAACCCGCCGATTCCAAATGCTTGTCAAGTCTCTTTTTATTTTCTTCTGGCCGTGTGGGGCATGGGATTTTACCTGTTGAAGCCCAGAAAACCAAAGCAGAAACAAAAGCAGCGGCCTCTGAGCAACAAGTAACAAAAAACAAAAAACAAGTTCACAACAAATAACAGCGGAATGCGTAGGCTTTGAAGTTTGTGTGCTAGAAGCACTTGAAATTGTCTGACCGATTGTCTGAAGCGTTTGTTGATGTTGATGTTGCGTGGGTTCCTCGAAAAGTAGTTTGATTAGTGGCGCAACTCGACATTTTGGCCGGCAGCTCTTCGACCATTAATTGTCTGTTTAGTTATAGGTTATAATCAGCGAATCGGATTTCCTCGCCGTTCGTGGGCTGCCATCAAAACAGTTTTCACATTCGTTATGTGCTTCATTAAGTAAGTTTCTAGGTTTGCTGCTTGCTCGATGAGTATTTAAATGCAACCTATTAAACACACGCTATTAAAGTTAGTGGGAGTAATGGAGACTAACTTTATTTTACCACAAAGGAAAATATTTTAATACTTTACATTTGCATTTTAAGCAGCTAAACCATATTTTATGGATAAGTCAAATCAATATATAGCAATTATCATCGTAAAAAAATAATTTAAATAAATCAAGAGCTTTCAAAATTGATAATCTTAATTTAGAATTACTGCTCAAGACTTGTAAGAGTAAAATCCAAATGCTATCCATTGACAGAACTCTTTAATAACTACAACACGTTCTACAAATTCTCAATTTTAAATTTGTTAAATGCCCATTACCATCAAATTCTTGTGGAGATGTCAAAAAAGTCAACCGCTTAAAAACGTTATGCTGGCTGCATTAGGAACACTCCAAACTTTAATGACCGCCCGGCCAGAAATGAAAAACTCCCGGATCCCGAAAACCCAACCAACAAGAACACGTAAACTAACAACTATAACAACACATGCCCGCAGCACAATTGAAGTGCACTTTGTTAGACCAATTAATTTACATTTCCGCGCAAAGCGTGGCCAAAAAATGAAAGCCGGGGAAAGAACGTGAAGTGTGGGGGCCCACAAATGCAAAGCGAAGGGCGGAGCAAAAGTTTACATAGAAACAAAAATAAAAGGTCGGAGTTCCACTTGAGGGCAAGGCAATGGTCCTTGACTTGGACGTTGAACGTCCAACGCCGACGATTGACCAGGCTTTGCTGGTCCTGTTTGTTGTTTGTCCTGTTTTCCCTTTTCTGCCAT